GATGATGAGACTGCTAAAAGTACTTAAAGTGTTATCAAAAGGTCGGTTTGTTCTTACCCGCCCAAACAGGGACTTGAACCCTGGACCCTCAGATTAAAAGTCTGATGCTCTACCGAATGAGCTATCTGGGCTCTCTAGTTGTTTTACTGGCTGTAGTGATAATCCTGGTTTCTAAGGATTATCCTCTGGCAAAAAGCTTTTTGTACGATGAGACTGCCAAAAGTACTTAAATTGTTATCATAAGGTAGAATTGTTCTCCCCTGCCCAAACAAGGACTTGAACCCTGGACCATTAGATTAAAAGTCTTGTGCTCTACTGACTGAGCTATCTGGGCTCTTGAATGCATTTAGGATTTAGTGATAATCCTGGTTCCTAAAAATATTCCTCCTACAATGTGTTTCTCTCAAGAAACTGTGTGTACTTTGTATGATGAGATTGCTAAAAGTACTTAAAGTGTTATCAAATGGAAGGATTGTCCTTGCCTGCTGAAACTGCGGTCTGGACCATGGTCCCTCAGATTAAATGTCTGATGCTCTACAGACTGAGCTATCTGGGCTCTAGTTGATAGTTTGGCTTCAGTGATAATCCTGGTGTCTTAAGATATTCCTCTGGCAAAATGTTCTATAAAGGGATATCTAGTACTTGGATTGTTTTGTTTGCCATAAAATAACCTCAATTGAAAAGACAAATATTGCTAAAAATTTTTGTCAACTAAAACATTGCCTTGCACTAAAATGGAAGACATTTGTTCTACAGACTGTACCTATTCAGGCTCCACCACAAAAAACTGATTAAGTTAACATTTTCCTTCTTAAGGATGGCCTACTCCAACAGTGTGTTTCATTTTAGAGACTGTGGATTGTTCTTGCTCTTCTAAATAGGGACTTGAAACCTAGACCCTCAGATTTAAAGTCTGATGCTCTACCAACTGAGCTATCTGGGCTCTAGTTGGTGTGTTGGCTGTAGTGATCACCCTGGTTTCTAAGATTATCCTCTGGCAAAATGCTTTTTGGATGATGAGACTGCTAAAAGTACTTAAAGTGTTATCAAAAGGTCAGTTTGTTCTTACCCGCCCAAACAGGGTCTTGAACCCTGGACCCTGAGATTAAAAGTCTGATGCTCTACCGACTGAGCTATCTGGGCTCTTGAATGCACTTTGGATTTAGTGATAATCCTGGTTCCTAAAAATATTCCTCCTACAATGTGTTTCTAACAAGAAACTGCGTGTACTTTGTATGATGAGATTTCTAAAAGTACTTAAAGTGTTATCAAAAGATAGGATTGTTATTGCCCTCTCAAACAGGGACCTGGACCCTTGACCCTCAGATTTAAAGTCTTATGCTCTACTGACAATGCCATCTGAACTCTAGTTGGTAGTTTGGCTTCAGTGATAATCCTGGTGTCTTAAGATATTCCTCTGGCAAAATGTTCAATAAAGGGACATCTAGTTCTTGGATTGTTGTGTTTGCCATAAAACAACCCCAATTAAAAAGACAAAAAATAAAAAAAATTTTTGTAAACTAAAACATTGCCTTGAACTGAAATGGAAGACATTTGCTCTACAGACTGACCTATCCAGACTCTACCACAAATACTGCTTAAGTGAACATTTTCCTTCTTAAGGATGGCCACCTCCTACAATACTTTTCTTTTAAGAAACTGTGGATTGTTCTTGCTCTTCCAAACAGGGAATTAAGCTTGGACCCTCATATTTAAAGTCTGATGCTCTACCAACTGAGCTATCTAGGCTCTAGTTGGTGTGTTGTCGTAACTGATAATCCTGGTTTCTAAAGATTATCCTCTGGCAGAGAGCTTCTTGTATAATGAGATTGCTATAAGAACTTAAAGTGTTATCAAAAGGTAGGTTTGTTCTTACCCACCCAAACAGGGACTTGAACCCTGGACCCTCAGATTAAAAGTCTGATGCTCAACCGACTGAGCTATCTGGGCTCTAGTTGTTTTATTGGCTGTAGTGATAATCCTGGTTTCTAAAGATTATCCTCTGGCAAAAAGCTTTTTGTACGATGAGACTGCTAAAAGTACTTAAATTGTTATCATAAGGTAGAATTGTTCTCCCCTGCCCAAACAAGGACTTGAACCCTGGACCATTAGATTAAAAGTCTTATTTCTCTCAAGAAACTGTGTGTACTTTGTATGATGAGATTGCTAAAAGTACTTAAAGTGTTATCAAATGGAAGGATTGTCCTTGCCTGCCGAAACTGCGGTCTGGACCATGGTCCCTCAGATTAAAAGTCTGATGCTCTACAGACTGAGCTATCTGGGCTCTAGTTGGTAGTTTGGCTTCAGTGATAATCCTGGTGTCTTAAGATATTCCTCTGGCAAAATGTTCTATAAAGGGACATCTAGTACTTGGATTGTTTTGTTTGCCATAAAATAACCTCAATTGAAAAGACAAATATTGCTAAAAATTTTTGTCAACTAAAACATTGCCTTAAACTAAAATGGAAGACATTTGTTCTACAGACTGTACCTATTCAGGCTCCACCACAAAAAGCTGATTAAGTTAACATTTTCCTTCTTAAAGATGGCCTACTCCAACAGTGTGTTTCCTTTTAGAGACTGTGGATTGTTCTTGCTCTTCTAAATAGGGACTTGAAACCTCGACCCTCAGATTTAAAGTCTGATGCTCTACCAACTGAGCTATCTGGGCTCTAGTTGTTTTATTGGCTGTAGTGATAATCCTGGTTTCTAAGGATTATCCTCTGGCAAAAAGCTTTTTGTACGATGAGACTGCTAAAAGTACTTAAATTGTTATCATAAGGTAGAATTGTTCTCCCCTGCCCAAACAAGGACTTGAACCCTGGACCATTAGATTAAAAGTCTTATGCTCTACTGACTGAGCTATCTGGGCTCTTGAATGCATTTTGGATTTAGTGATAATCCTGGTTCCTAAAAATATTCCTCCTACAATGTGTTTCTCTCAAGAAACTGTGTGTACTTTGTATGATGAGATTGCTAAAGTACTTAAAGTGTTATCAAATGGAAGGATTGTCCTTGCCTGCCGAAACTGCGGTCTGGACCATGGTCCCTCAGATTAAAGTCTGATGCTCTACAGACTGAGCTATCTGGGCTCTAGTTGGCAGTTTGGCTTCAGTGATAATCCTGGTGTCTTAAGATATTCCTCTGGCAAAATGTTCTATAAAGGGACATCTAGTACTTAGATTGTTTTGTTTGCCATAAAATAACCTCAATTGAAAAGACAAATATTGCTAAAAATTTTTGTCAACTAAAACATTGCCTTGCACTAAAATGGAAGACATTTGTTCTACAGACTGTACCTATTCAGGCTCCACCACAAAAAGCTGATTAAGTTAACATTTTCCTTCTTAAGGATGGCCTACTCCAACAGTGTGTTTCCTTTTAGAGACTGTGGATTGTTCTTGCTCTTCTAAATAGGGACTTGAAACCTCGACCCTCAGATTTAAAGTCTGATGCTCTACCAACTGAGCTATCTGGGCTCTAGTTGGTGTGTTGGCTGTAGTGATCACCCGGGTTTCTAAGATTATCCTCTGGCAAAAAGATTATTGGATGATGAGACTGCTAAAAGTACTTAAAGTGTTATCAAAAGATAGGATTGTTATTGCCCTCTCAAACAGGGACCTGGACCCTTGACCCTCAGATTTAAAGTCTTATGCTCTACTGACAATGCCATCTGAACTCTAGTTGGTAGTTTGGCTTCAGTGATAATCCTGGTGTCTTAAGATATTCCTCTGGCAAAATGTTCTATAAAGGGACATCTAGTTCTTGGATTGTTGTGTTTGCCATAAAACAACCCCAATTAAAAAGACAAAAATTGCAAAAATTTTTGTAAACTAAAACATTGCCTTGAACTGAAATGGAAGACATTTGCTCTACAGACTGACCTATCCAGACTCTACCACAAATACTGTTTAAGTGAACATTTTCCTTCTTAAGGATGGCCACCTCCTACAATACTTTACTTATAAGAAACTGCGGATTGTTCTTGCTCTTCCAAACAGGGAATTAAACTTGGACCCTCATATTTAAAGTCTGATGCTCTACCAACTGAGCTATCTAGGCTCTAGTTGGTGTGTTGTCTTAACTGATAATCCTGGTTTCTAAAGATTATCCTCGGGCAGAGAGCTTCTTGTATAATGAGATTGCTATAAGGACTTAAAGTGTTATCAAAAGGTAGGTTTGTTCTTACCCGCCCAAACAGGGACTTGAACCCTGGACCCTCAGATTAAAAGTCTGATGCTCTACCGACTGAGCTATCTGGACTCTAGTTGTTTTATTGGCTGTAGTGATAATCCTGGTTTCTAAAGATTATCCTCTGGCAAAAAGCTTTTTGTACGATGAGACTGCTAAAAGTACTTAAATTGTTATCATAAGGTAGAATTGTTCTCCCCTGCCCAAACAAGAACTTGAACCCTGGACCATTAGATTAAAAGTCTTATGCTCTACTGTCTGAGCTATCTGGGCTCTTGAATGCATTTTGGATTTAGTGATAATCCTGGTTCCTAAAAATATTCCTCCTACAATGTGTTTCTCTAAAGAAACTGTGTGTACTTTGTATGATGAGATTGCTAAAAGTACTTAAAGTGTTATCAAATGGAAGGATTGTCCTTGCCTGCCGAAACTGCGGTCTGGACCATGGTCCATCAGATTAAAAGTCTGATGCTCTACAGACTGAGCTATCTGGGCTCTAGTTGGTAGTTTGGCTTCAGGGATAATCCTGGTGTCTTAAGATATTCCTCTGGCAAAATGTTCTATAAAGGGACATCTAGTACTTGGATTGTTTTGTTTGCCATAAAATAACCTCAATTGAAAAGACAAATATTGCTAAAATTTTTTGTCAACTAAAACATTGCCTTGCACTAAAATGGAAGACATTTGTTCTACAGACTGTACCTATTCAGGCTCCACCACAAACAGCTGATTAAGTTAACATTTTCCTTCTTAAGGATGGCCTACTCCAACAGTGTGTTTCCTTTTAGAGACTGTGGATTGTTCTTGCTCTTCTAAATAGGGACTTGAAACCTCGACCCTCAGATTTAAAGTCTGATGCTCTACCAACTGAGCTATCTGGCCTCTAGTTGGTGTGTTGGCTGTAGTGATCACCCTGGTTTCTAAGATTATCCTCTGGCAAAAAGCTTTTTGGATGATGAGACTGCTAAAAGTACTTAAAGTGTTATCAAAAGGTCAGTTTGTTCTTACCCGCCCAAACAGGGACTTGAACCCTTGACCCTCAGATTAAAAGTCTGATGCTCTACCGACTGAGCTATCTGGGCTCTTGAATGCACTTTGGATTTAGTGATAATCCTGGTTCCTAAAAATATTCCTCCTACAATGTGTTTCTAACAAGAAACTGCGTGTACTTTGTATGATGAGATTTCTAAAAGTACTTAAAGTGTTATAAAAAGATAGGATTGTTATTGCCCTCTCAAACAGGGACCTGGACCCTTGACCCTCAGATTTAAAGTCTTATGCTCTACTGACAATCCCATCTGAACTCTAGTTGGTAGTTTGGCTTCAGTGATAATCCTGGTGTCTTAAGATATTCCTCTGGCAAAATGTTCTATAAAGGGACATCTAGTTCTTGGATTGTTGTGTTTGCCATAAAACAACCCCAATTGAAAAGACAAATATTGCAAAATTTGTTTGTCAACTAAAACATTGCCTTGAACTGAAATGGAAGACATTTGCTCTACAGACTGACCTATCCAGACTCTACCACAAA